TGCCTTGACCTTCACGTGAGACTTTTTACACTCGTAGAGATGCAACTCGGGGCAGTCCAAGTGTAAAATGACGATGCCACCGTGGGGCCGGCTGAACACCTCGAGCATCTTGTTAGCCCCTTCAAGATCGACCGCGACGTCCATTATCCGGTTCCTTTGTTTAAATTGTACGCAACGGATCTTAAAAGTGCTCAAGTCGTTCAGCAAACAAAACGAAAAGTACCCGTGTTCGCTTGAATGTTTCGTGAAATAATCGTACATTTTTTCGTTCAGCAAATATGGAGTACTGAACAGATTGTATGAAGACACCCCAAGGTAAATATGCTCGATCTCAAGTGCTCTACCTACTTCGTCGTGACTAGATGTGAAGTAAATTAAAAATACGCCACTGCTCGAGTTCATACGATCAGCGACTATCGCGTCTTTGTAATGATAATCTAGGTTAAAGTTGATTTGGTCACCAACTTGCTTGCCTGTAACAAATAATCATATAATGTTTTTTGGACTGTATACTGCTGCTGGGCGTGATGCTCGAAAATTTTAAAAGTGACAATATACCCTTGCGGTCGTATTTGATGGCGCATGAACTGGACCCTTTACATTTCTCTGAGTCATCCGTCAAAACGTAGGTGACGTTGTGGTAAGCGAGTAGATGGAAGGTCATGGGCCTATATTCAGATGATCTTTTTGGCATCTCAAAGTATACACTTTTGTAATAGCAACTGATCACATCGGTAAAGGCAATTTCGATTCCCGAGGATCCGCCGAAGGTTGAGTAGTCCCATCGGAACGCAGTTGTGTCTTCTGCCAACTCGGTTAAAGTTGGAAGAGGATTTCTCGAAAATATACTGAAGAATGCAGTGCATCGATTTTCGGTGTCGTTCATCATTTTTACTACAATTTCGCATACCGGTTGAAAAAGCATACCAAATTCATCGTGACTTAAAACTGTGCACGTAACGTACTTTAAGCCGTTAGTGATGTTAGAGGACACATAGTACGTTACATAATCGTCGGAATTTTCACGGTACTTGGTATACTCTTCCGTAAAATTGTGTGCTCTTGTTGCCTGTGCGGCAGTGCACAAAAGAACCACGGCCGGGAAAATTGTTGCCAAAAACATTTTTCGGTGAACGGCTCAATTTCAATGTGCCTACCTTTACTGGAAAACAAATTTGGGAGAAAAATTAAAGCTTAGTATGAAAAACTAGTGCGCTATCATGTAAATGTAAAAAAATTATACTTACTGCGCTGAATAAGTTGTATACGATCGAGCAATGTAACGTTACTGCCAATAATGTATGCTAAAAAAAAAAAAAGACCGTTTCCGTTAAATCCACCTCATTCTCGTATTCAAACCAAATTTTCTATCTCTGACAAATCGGTACTTAAGATTCTCAATCCTATACCGATTTCAAGTAATTCATAGTTATACGAAATTAAAATAATCAATAAAACTCAAAAGTATAGAGTTGAAAAGAGCTGCCAAGCGTTGCATTTACTTTTGTAACAAATGGCGTGGAATTTATTTGTGATACGTTAAATAAGTAGGTACTTACCCTGCACCTGACGCTCCAAATTGTCAACTGAATCCAAAAATGGTGGATCACATGTTTTATACCGTACGGCACTGGTGCGATAAGGTGCCACGCGTGATCGTTTTACTTGTGTTGAGGCACGACATTTCTTTGTTTCACTAACATTTTTTCCAAAAGTAATTATTTAACTTGTATGTGATAATTGTGTGCACGAGGTATTTGTTCTTCGAAAGTTGAGGCATGAAGTTTTGTGATAACAAACAAAAAAGCCAGGCTTTCTTTACAGCAAACCACGTGTAAGAAGTTGAGACAAAGAAGTTGGGTTTCTCGGTCCCTATGAAAGTATTCGATTTCATGTAATTTTATCCATAGCTGAAAACGTGAACAGTAGAACCGTAAAACTCCCATCACCCCACCTTTTAAACTATCTAAGGTTAAAAAATATAAACCAAGTGCATATAATAATTCAAATAATCCATACCTCGAGTTTGAAAGCATTCATGAAAAAGTAAACCATCGGCACTGATTACTTCAACAAATAAATATTCTACATTTTGTAGTAAAAATAATAACAATTCACTTAAATTTAATGTTTTTAACACATTGCATCTCGAGTTATACATACATTGGGATGAAGGGCTCTTGAGTTAAAAAAATATTTGATACTTTGGGTCGTATAAAAGTTTTCGATTTTTTTTTTATTTAAAGGACAATTACTTTTCCTTGACTGTTATTATAAATAATTTTTTGAATAAATTAAAGTGTGAAATCAGCATCATCATAATTGATAACTTTCTTAAAATGAAAGCAATACGCCAATTCTTGCGAATTGTTACTCTCTGAGTAATGGTACATCACTAGGGCACAAAAAACCCAAAGGGCGCGATTGTTGTCTGTTAGTGCCTGAGACGCGAATAATGTTCTTCTTATTGAGGGCGTAAAGGGAAATTTTGTGACCGTTGGCATACTTTGCGTCCGGTAAATCACTTTGGGCCCAAGGGCAGAAAAGTACTTTGGGTCCGAAGGGTGCAAAGTGATTTCAAGGGCGCAAAGCGGCAGTTGCACTTTGAGCCCATGGTAAGAAAAGATCTTTTTTTTACTTTCAAAAGGACAGGTTTTAAAACAAAGCATAGCTAAAAAATTGGAAAACATGATCGTTATCTATCAGTTTCAAAATTGTAGCACAAAAATACAGACGCAAAGTTTCTTTGTCAGTCAATAATTCGAGGAATGACACTCATAGATATACATGTACATTGTCGTTTAAGTTTTTTATTCTGAGAATTTTTTAAAACCGTTAAGCAATAATTGTTTGATAAGATATAGAGGAATTACAAAAAAAATATATTGTTGTTATACTCCAGTTTAATAAAAAAAAATTTTTTGAGGCACACGTTCGAGATAGGATTCATTTTACTTGTAAGGTCATGTACTATGAGGAAAAAATTTTGAACATGGGTGTTTCACGTTCTTCTATGTTCCAATGTAACCAGAGTGTATTAATGTAGTTCAAATATTCCGAGTACAGTTCTTTTTCAAAATTATTAGGTAGGATTTACCTTGGAATATCCTGTATTCTTACACTTGATTAACCACAGAATTTATAAAATGACTACGCTTACCCTGAATTTTTTCATGATTCTTAGCCGTGGTAAAGTCAATGTACTCGGTCTCGAAAATTAGCTACACAACAATGGTGAGCGTGTCATTTGGCAACAAATAATCACGTTTGTCCACCAAAAGTGCTGATTCTATGGAATTAGACACGGAAAATTTATTCGAACCCGGAGTATTGGACGAATACTTTATGTGCGACGACTTTAAATATTTCTTAAAAAATTTCTTTGTTGTCTTATCTTTCGGAAATAGTTTGTTACTTTGTGTCTTTACGTGGTTTGAAATAAGTTTTAGAACGCAGTTTCAACTATGCATGGAAAAAGTTTCTACTTTTATCAGGTAGATTGACAAGAAACCATTCAACATGTAGATTTTTTTCTTATTTCACATTAATAATAATAAAAAATTAGACCCGATTCTAATGAGATAGTAAANTTGACTTTAATGATAATTCCTTTGTTCTCTTATATTTCAAAAATAGTTTGTTCTTTTGTGTCTTCGTGCGATTTAAAATAAGTTTTAGAACGCACTTTAAACTATGCATGGAAAAAGTTTCTACTTTTATCAGGTAGATTGACAAGAAACCATTCAACATCTAGATTTTTTTCTTATTTCACATTAATAATAATAAAAAATTAGACCCGATTCTAATGAGAGATAGTAAAGAAATTTTGCATACTCAGAATATTTTTTTCCTTTTTTCTGAATAAAAAAAAAAAAATAGAATCAATTCAATGAACATTATATTCTTCCAAACTAACTTATCGTGTGACTTGTTCACAGACTAAATCTTAAATTTGATCCATTTTTGTTAGAAAATTATCAACCAATAAACGAATAAAAAACTTATGAATAATTTTACATTCAGCTTTGTATATTACTATTAGTATGCTAATTCTTTTATTGTATTTTTGAAATGCTTTGTTTTACGTTGTATGTACTTAATTTTGACATAAAAAAAATCTTTTACTTATAGGTTGGTGACAATACTGTTCATTATTACAGACTAATGGGGTTGACCAAAGCAAAAAGTCCCTAAACGACGGAATGACACGAGATGCACAGTAATTTTTTTTTTCTCTCAACCGCATTGGCAAAACTTTAAGAAATCGTGAAGACGACGGGATTATAATTCGAAAGATTCCTGTACCACTTGCTCTTCTGCTTTTATTTTCGCTGAACTATCCGGGTGCTGCCTTGTCTCCAAAGTTGGCCACGATCTAATTATCTCCCTGATAAAAAATTGGACAAATTGGTTATCGGCATCCTACGCATTGAAAATACCCGAGAAAAACAATCGAAGCTTTGACTAACACTTGTAAGACGTCAAATCGGCATTAGTAGTAAGAGCTCTTTCTTGTAACAAACATACATTTTTTAGTACACCCTAAAAATTTACACATTATTTCGTTACTTTGAAGCAAAACAACGTATTAAACGATGAGTCGTATTAAAAAAACAGACATCCTGAAAATGATAAAAGGACTACCCATGGCATCTACATGTTTATGACACATCAAATTTCTAGTCATTCTAGACATCCTTTTCATACGAAAACTGCCATATAAAAGATAACCATCAAATATTATTATCATTATTATTATTATTATTATTATCATTATTATTATTATTATCATTGTTTGAAACGCGCTTTAGTATTAAAGCACAGATTGTGCATGAACGACTTAAAAAAGAAAAAAAAAAATTATTTCCCTCTGTCCCATAGCTCGAGATGCGAAGTAGGCCATCTACGCAATTTGTGGAACGCCGGAATGTCCTGACGCAATTCCACGAACACGCGGCATTAGCGCGACGTCCAAAATCAAACTGTTTGGTGCACTCAAAATGACGACACCCGATGGTATTTTGCTTACGATCGCAATATTCGCCAGCCCGACCTGCGGGGCGTCGTGCTCGCCGTCATTGAACGGCATAGTTTGCTCGCTGGTCCGGAAACGATCGGACGTCGCTCGACGATTAATGCCTCACTGCCTCGGCACTTGAAGGATCTCCACTGGCACCTCTGCATCTTCGACGATATTATGGTACTTATACTGTCTTTTTATCTCATGCTTTTTTCTACTTTTTTTTAATCGGCGAAACAAAACATTTATGATTTATATATTATTCATGTGCTGAATAATGACGAAAAACTGTTCGGGTATTTTTTGTACTTCAGGACGTAGAAGGTAGCAGTACTAAGCATCTTACAGCCTCTGACTTGTGCAAGTCGAAGCACTGCTCGAGTTATGCTTTTAAACAGAGACCTAAATTTGCAAGCATACTGCTGTCACTTGTATTAACTGCTTGCCTCACCGTGACGATAGTTTGCGTGACTTCCCAAACAGGTGAGTTTTTCTATAGCTATAAAAATTATTTTTATATTTCCACTGCTTATTCAAATACAATTAAAACGCAATTTTTATCATAATTTTTGATTCCGAAAAATTTTCACGGGAATTTTGTAAGAAAATTCATTCAGTTAAATAGGGTTTGGTATTTTAGCTTTTTGATTTGTTTCATCGCAGTGACGATAAAAAGTTTTAAGTACATTGCATGGAAAAATAGATTCTGACTACGTGCTTAAATTAAAATTACTCGGCCGACTAATCTTACATCTTATGAACGTAAATTTGAAATAACAATCAATCAATCATGTAACATTTTTTTACTAGGGACGTTTAATGTAAATACGTGATTTTTTATCGCATATTCATCATTAAAATTTATTTAAAAATTATTGCAACAAAGAAATACTTGCAGATTTATACCATATTTCATACATATTTTTTCCAAAACCCAACTCACAAAAATGACCATTTAAATATGACACGCTAAAATCTAAATTTTAAAAAAGTTGCATTTTCATGAGAACCACAATAAATATCTGTAAAGAAATCATTCCCAACACATTTGTGTACTTGAAAATGTCACGCATGGCGGTATATTTCTCCGTCGAGAAGTTTTCCATAGAGCAATGGAATGTATTTTTATTAGTAAAAGAAAATGACGTATATGTGTACGTTGCAATGTTCGTAGATGACCACGTCAGAGTTGGCAGCACAAAGGAGGATGCGCCAGAAAACCCAATCGAGGCTGAAGGGACGATGAGAACAATAGCAAATGGTATGGACAGCCAGACTTTTTCCTTTCCATTGGCACACCTAACAAGGATTCGACGATCGAAGCGTCAGGCTCCTCGGAAAAGCCTCAAAAACTGTTCCAAGGAGACATGCCGATTTCTTTTGCAAGGTATGCCCATATACGTCCAATAAACCCCGATTGATTGGATTTCGTTAAACTCTTCGCTCGCGATACACGCGCTCTACTTTCGCAGCTCTGCAACAAATGGCCGAGGACGCCAAGCCGAAGATAAACTGCCTGCGCGAGGAGCTGGCGAAAAAGGGCCTGAAGGAGTCGGACTTTATGCCCAGAATCATAGACTGCCTGCAGTGCAAAGACGAGGCGGAGGAGAAGAACGAAGTCGACTCTGGATCGGTGTCCGTCAGGCAGCCTAGCATCGTCGATCTCATGCCGTCCGTGAGGAATCGGGAGGAGCTGGAGCGACTTGTGGAGCAGGGAGACGCGCCCTCGGTAGGTGTAATCGAGGAAGCCAGTGACTCTGCTACCCCAGATGGGGCCTCGCGGGGCGCTAACGACATCGATGTGGACGATCCCGAGAGTAAGTTTCTCCACTGAAAATGTAAAGTGCTTTCTGTTAAATGGGTTTTTTTTACCTTTTTATCGTGGAAAAGGTATTGCAATTGTGCATCGATGTTGGTGTTTTAATGATTCGTTTTAGAGAAACGTAATTTTTTTAGGACCCATGGATCAGCACAAACATTCTGGCCAATCTGTGGACGAGCCTTCTAGTGACGGTATGACAGTATAAAACCACATCTTTCGAATTTAACATAATATTCATTCATTTGTTCGTCATTGCTTCAAACAATAATCTTTCCAAATTCATGGTCTACCATGGTAATCAACATTTCTTTTTGTCATTACTCGGATCGTGTCATAACAATCTCTAGCGTCATGGCTAATAATATTGAATTCCTTTTTAATAAATTTCTGATGATGTTTCATCGAAACCATTTGCCTTGAATATAATTGATGCAGTAAAAATATGCGTGTACTTCAGAACCACAATAACGACACACAATCCTTTTTACCCTCGTGTATTTCAGGGGAGACGCGACGCAAGATCGAATGCCTCGAAAAGTCGGCCCTGAAAAACAAGGAACCCACGGCGTACTTTCAACCCACAGCAGAGACAGCTACGGTGTACCAGCAGATTCACCTTACGCCGTACAACGGCCTGTCCCCACTGTATCCAATGTACTTTGGTGGGCCACCTTTTAAGCAAAGTAACTCGACTCTTGCTTTTGTTTCTTCTATTTTTTTTTTCTTTTTTTTTTTTTTTCCTCAAGATTTTGTAACTATTAATTTTTAATTTTTATCTATTAATTTTAACAAAACCAACTCAATGATGTTCTTTCGTGGTAGTTAAACTTGTTCTATGCATGAAAAACGTTCTCGTTTCTAGTATTCTCCGAAATGGAACTTTGGAGTCAAATGACAAGTTATCGCTGTATACGCTAAATTTTTCGTGTATCCTCAAACTTTGTAGCAACTTTTTAAGCTTTTTTTTTTTGTTAAAATCCTGCAATACGTTTTGCAGAAAGTTTTTTCCATTTAATACGATAGTATCATAATTAGTATTTATGCATCGTTTATTGTTGGTAAAACAACGTTTATGCGATCACCAAGTAGACTAGGGGTTGAAGGTATTTTATGTTAAACTTATGTTACATCTACGCCAAATGCGAAAAAAATCACGCAGAAGTTGTTGCAACGTACCGTACGGAACATATTGCAGAAATTTGTAAAAGATTTTGTGCCTTTCATATCGATAAGAAAATGCGATATTGTCACATGAGCAAACCAATTGGTAACACTCAATGTACTTTCCAAACACATTGGAAAAAAGAGCTACTCCAAGAAAATCCGATAGACGTATAGGAAAATCTGTTGCAGCGCAAGAGGCAAGAGTCACCGATGCAACCGACCAGCTCAGGTTTGGGCTGCCGTACATCCCACTGATCCAAATGCAGCCTCCCATCACTGACCCGCGATCTCCCGACCCAGTATCCACAAATGAACTCACCAGACAAAACGCACCCGTCTACCTCTGCTTACCCCCAGTCCACCCAGTCGCATCGCCACCTCCACCCCGCGCTAGTGACATCCAAGAGCAGAGTAGTACAGCCGATAAAGAGCCACCAACAGCAACCTCTAAAACTACGAGTGGTACCAAGCACATGCAGGGAGAAACGTATGACCCAAGGAACCGGATGTCTGCAGCCAACAGCGGGGTGGAGGAGGACGGTGAGCTGAACACGGAAGGGCCGTTGCAGGTGACGGATGCAACTACCACGGAAATGGAGACCACGGTGACCGAGCAAGTGCCAACCACCATCCCAACCGAGGAACGGATGGCCAATGACGAAGAAATCGTTCAACAGTTTGTGTGCAAGAGGTAAGTATGTGGATTGAATATTATCTACAATGTGAATGATTAAAAAGTTTGTACTCTCGTTCGACGTATTTGGTAATTGAGGGTTAAATGGAAAACGGTAAGTTTACTAAAAATGGTCTCCATAAGGGTGCGTTCGGGATGATTTCGAGACTTTGAAATACTTGTAACTTCAAAGTGCTTTGAAAATTTGGGGTTTTCTGTAGATCTAGGGATAGTCCCGAGCACAACCCTATCGTGACTTTTGGTACTGGACTCAAAAAACGATCGTTATACTATCGAATTTGGCCATTTTTTTTTTCATCTTTTTGACATTGAATACGTTAGACAAAATACAACACTTTTTGTATATTGGAAACATATTCGATGGATACAAGGAGTTTGTTCTAGACTTTAAAAAAGTCTCGTTAACGTGTATAAAATAAATGACACTAAAAAGGGGTAAAAATAAAAGGGAATTGTTAAAAACCTAAGTATGTCAAATAAGAATAAAAAGGAATAAACGATTGTGTCCAGAATGATGCAGTCAGTCCCGATAGAAAAACGTTGCGACAACGTACCCGACTGCGAAGACGGGACGGATGAAGAAGATTGCAAGTGCAAGGATGTACTCAAAGGAAACGACACCGCCAAGATTTGCGATGGAAGCATCGATTGCTTCGACGCCAGTGACGAAGAAGGATGTGGTAACCCAATTGCATCATACCATAAATTTGTTTGCCATCTAAAAACAATCCACCAAAGAATGTTTAGTTACTATATATGGCGTGACGATAATTTAATTTACTATCGTATAGGTATTTGCAAGCCCAACGAGTTCCACTGCGTCAAGAGCAACGCTTGCGTTCAAAAAAGCCAACGATGCAACGAAGTCAGCGATTGCACATTTGGCGAAGACGAGATGGATTGCTGTAAGTTATTCAATGCTGATTTTTTTTTTTTAATAAACAATGAATTAACCTAACGTTGAAAAATCATAGACGTACTGACAAACGGCGAGCACGTCAACCTGGACCTTGACGATCGGCCGCACTTGAACGCCGAGGGAGTACTGACGAGTTACCAGAACGGCTCTTGGCGAGCCACTTGTTTGAAACCGGAAGCTCGCAATGATTCGGGACGGTCCATCGTTGGTCTGGCCATTTGTCACAAACTTGGCTTCAGGTCAGTGATTTTTCGCTCCTAGTCGAAAATTGTCAAATGAATTTTTGTTGCGACAGCAACACTGAAGTTGGACCTGCTGAAGGTTTACCATATGATTTTTACTCTGGTGTAAAGTAAATTTTTCTGTGACTTGACGATTTTTTTTTTTTTTTTTTTTACCATAAGTTACGGTAATTTTTCTTCCGACTATGCATGAAGACGACTTCGGAGGTATAAAAGATAGGTACTTATGCATAACGCTACAAAACGTAAAGATCTGCGTTATTAAGACCAGTGTTGTCACGTTCTCCTTATTCAATATTGAGAAAAAAACATTTGTTCCAACTTTACCACTCTGCTTACGTGGAAACAATTCCTGTAATTATTACCCCTAGGTTCCGTTGACCATTGTTCTCTCCTCACTCTCTCTCTCTCTCTCTCACTCTCCCCACCTGAAGCTTCTCCACAAATTAAAAAATCTCAATCTCTCTAATAGTGCTCTAACTCTTCTCCATAGCTACCTTTCAAATCGTCGTCAAGCCATTGGGGGGGGTAACGGGGAGGCCATATCCAACTGGCGACCCGCCCTCGCGGGTGTTCCCCAGGGAAGTGTCCTTGGCCCTCTCCTTTTCTCCTTGTATATAAATGCCCTTCCCGCCTCTCTCTCTTATTCTAAACATATGATCTACGCTGACGACACCCAAATTTACCTTCATTGTCCTTTTGCATCCATCAATGAGGCCATTGCCCGCCTGAATCGTGATCTTGAAGCCATTGCGGCATGGGCTCATTGTAATGGCCTAAGCCTCAATCCGCGTAAATCCAAGGCCATGATTCTCGGCAGCCTCGCTTACATCTCTCGCCTAGATCAATCATCCCTCATTCCCATTCATATCCATGGCATCGCGATCCCTGTTGTGGAGAAGGCCTTGAACCTGGGCGTTGTCTTTACCCCCTCACTCCACTGGTCTTCACAGATTAACAGGATCAACCAGAAGGTACATAACACACTCCGTTCCCTGCGATTCAATAGACATGCCCTAACTCGTACCTTACGCAAATCCCTCATCGAATCTCTGGTCTTTCCGCACCTGGACTATGCTTCATCGGTCTTCTTTCGATTGGACGTCACACGCAATTTAAAAATGCAGAGAGCCATTAATGCTTGTGTTCGCTTCGTGGCCGGCAATATTCCGAGAGATGCTCACATCACACCATTACGATTGGAACTGGGCTGGCTTTCTGCTCGACGTAGACGTGAATACCACTTGGGGTGTCTTGCCTTCAACATAATCCGCCTTCATTGCCCTACATACCTCGCTGATCGTTTTCGCCTTGCTCCCCACTCAGTCACTAGTTCCCGCACCCTTCGCCGCCCACAACCTTTGCTCATCGTCCCTCCCTCCCGCACCCGTGCTCGCGACGATTCCTTCTATATTCAAGCATCTGATCTCCTGAATTCACTTTCTCCAATTAACCTTGCCGATCACTCATACTCATCATTCCAAATCCTACTCCATAATACCCTCTTGCAGCGCGACCAGAGCGAGTGGATCGAACGTGTTGAGCGGGAGGGAATTGTGCTCGCTTAGCGTAAACAGTGCTTCAACCTTGACCTCAAATTAACAGCGGACGCTCTGACGTGGTTGACCTTTCCCATCACACATAATACACGACACCATAGCCCAACTCTGACATCTTGCATCTAATGACTCCTCCTTGCACCAACCATCATTCACTTTATCTCGCCTACCTCAGCACCTAGTCCTTCACCTGCTCTCTCCCCACCTGACTCCTCTGCACATAATTCCCTCCTCCTGTCCCTCTTAATTCCCCAACCACCAACCATCCTCACTCACCACTCTCCTTTTGTTAGCCTACTCTAGCCTTCTCGCATCCCACAACCTTCTAAACGCCTTTCATTCGCATCTCCCTTGCCCTCACATCCTTCCGCAAATCAAGCTAGCTTTCTCATGCATTCAATTTACCTTGTTATATTGTTATACCTTTTATTTTTAGTTTTAAGTGGCTTACATTTATTTGCCTTGCGCTCAAGTCTGATTAACTCTTCAATTTGTAATCTCACACCTTGCTCTCTTATTGTAATTTGTTTGCACGCTACAATTTTAGCTTATTGAAATTAGTTTTAAGTCTGCTTATCTTACTGTATTATACTTTTCTGGCCAGATGGGGGTCTTCCCCAAGGCATAATAAACACTCTAAACACTCTCTCTTTCCACTTGTAAGAACAACGTAAAACTAAAACATGGTGTAAAACAACACAGGGGCGTGGATTCGATGAAGGAAATAGTTGTGCGAACGTCAAAGATGAGCGAGAGATCTGCGAGAAATGGTTCGTCGGTGGCGTACGAGTACCCGCCCCAGTACACAGCCCCAGCAGAGAGCGACTGGACCTGTTTCGGCGTCTACATTCGCTGCAAGCCGATTCTCAACAGCACCATGAGCAACTTCGAGGTCGTCAAATCCGGTGGAAATGGTCCCGAGAAAACGTATGCTTGGCCTTGGGAAGCTTCGGTTTTCGTGGACGGACGATACCGGTGCTCGGCTCTACTGCTCGAGGAAGATCTGCTGCTCGGACCGGCCAAGTGTGGCCGTGGTGTCAAGTGAGGCTCCGTTACTAAAGCGATTTTTGTCGAGTACTTTTTTTTTTCTTTCTCAGTATCGATTTTAAATGCGACGGTACAACCTCTCGTGACTTTTGAATTTATTTGTTTTTGTCTTGAAATCGATAAGCACTGGATGAGCCTGTTTACTGAAATGTACCCCAGGATTAACCAGTTTTTGTTTTTGTTTTTTTTTTTTTCTTTTACGTAGAAAATGAAAAGTAATTTCAATCGGATTATTCAACTTTTATTCACAGACGTGTGTATTTTTTAAGAGCCACAAATGACATTTACCATTACGTCTGCGGGGGTGTAGGCGTTGATTAAAAGAAGTTTGTTTTCTTCCTCAGCCTATCGAAAAATTACACGGTCGCTTCTGTTGGAGCACCACCGCTGAACTTCCCGTTTAGTGGACCGTACGAACAAATTTCCCGCGTCGTGGACATCAAACCTTTGAGGAACTCGGTTGCCTCGGTATTTCGACTGAGGGACAAAATCAACATGACCCGTTACGCTCAGCCAATCAATCTGGACAGAAGGTAATCGAAGGGGTATCTATCTATTTGGGCACCTTCAGCGTAAACAATTTTCATGTGTATAGAAAGTTCATAAAGTAAATGATCAAAAAGAGAAAAAATCTTAGAAATTTAGGACATAATTTGTTGTTCAAAATATTGATTGTACAACACTTTATTTTTCGTCCATGATTTTGACATTCTACTCTTTGATCATCTTCCCAATGAATTTCCACACATAAAAATGGATTTTGTTGGATATGTCAAATTAGATGGAACGTTTTTGGCATATTATTCTGGCTTAGCACAAAATCATTAGACGTTATGGTGACAACCCTCTTATTTATTACCAATCAGTCACAGACGTTAAAAAAAAAAAAAAAAAAAAACAAAGTATTATGATGGATCTGTAACGAGTAGAGATGTTCTCGTTCTCATGCCATCTATAATGTTTTTTACCGGCAAGTTTAGTCGATGCCACGTGAAATGTACTCGGGGACATCTATTACCAGAAAGTATTCCCGATCCAAGGAGTGAGTACTCGAATAACGAACGATTCGAACGTTACAGGATTTTTCCAGCGTCGAGCAACGACACCTGCATTGCCGTCGGAGTCAACGACAAGGGCGTGAAAAAAACGCGGTTACTGCGAACGATCCTCGACTGCCCCCCGTGCCGTAGATGCTTCATCGAACGGAGTCCCTCGCTATCATGCTCGGTTGGATTTTTCCCATTTGGATGTCTTTCTTGTTTCTTGTTTTTGTATTCTAACCGAAAAACATCCTCAGAGGAGCAGCGGGGCCTCAAAATGGAGCGGCCACGTGGTTTGTCTGAGCAAACTTGGCTGGTATCCAGCTGCAGTGTTCCAGAACAGGGACCTCATATGCGGCTTCGGAACCACGCAGACGCTCAACGGCATCGACTACTTGAGCGCCCACGTATCCCAAGCCATCGGTAAGCTCAAGAAAAAGGCGAGATTGGGCACTTTTAGCGACCAAACTATTTAAATTGATGATTACTTCTCTTACCAAACCACGACAATGCTGCTGAACAACAAAAAAATAAAAACAAGGTGAAGCGACCAAACCACTCGACGAGCCCACCTGTCTGGGTCTGAGGTGTACGCTGGGCCGGTGCATACCATGGGACCGAGTGTGCGACGGAGCTCGCGACTGCCAGGACGGAAAGGACGAAGAGCCCAAGTACTGCAGAAACTCCAAGGGCAGATGTGACAAGGACGGCGCGAATTGCAGTTAGTAATGAAATTATATCTATTGGATGTACTTAATCCTCGATGACCTTGACGTTTGCGAAAAAAAAGAAAAAGGATGCCACGTGTCGGAGCTCCGTTGCGGCGACGGTCAGTGCATCCCGAAGCAAGGGTTCTGCGACGGGAGGAGGGACTGCAGCGACGGCAGCGACGAGCCGGCCGGCTGCAGCTGCGCCCGTTACTTGAGCCTGAGCCGGCCTAACCTCGTCTGCGACGGCCGGCGCCACTGCTTCGACAAATCAGACGAGAGTTACAAATTGTGCGCATGCGCGGACTCGAGCTTCAGGTGCACGGGGTACGTGTGGCACGAGTCAAAGAGCACAATGTCAGTGGAGTTGTCGTTTTATTTTTTTTCTCTCTTTTGGTTTCCGTGGCTCGCAGAAGTCCGTACAACGGGACAGTCGCTTGCGTCCCGCAGGACTACGTGTGCGACGGGCATCCCGACTGTCCTAACGGAGAGGACGAGGCGCGGGAGGCCTGCTGGAAGCTGCAGTCCAAGCCTGGTGATCCGTAAGCAATTTTTTTTTTTTTTAGTTCAATTTTTCTTGGTGGCAGCCCAGTTATGGGGGAGGGGTAAAATGTTCACAGGAAGGGCAAGGGCGAGGTGATGCGGAGGAGTTACGGTGTTCTGCAGTCGCTGTGCCTGCCTCAGCCGACGATGTCGCGGCGCGAGGCTGGAAGGATCTGCAAGGAGCTGGGTTTTGCCGGGGGTGCTGGTGATAAGAAGATTAAATTGGTCACCGACGCGCAGTACGAGTTGCGGTACGATTTCTTCATGGTGCAGGTGAACAGTATGACGTGGGTGAGCATGCGGCCGAACGCGACCTTGGGGGTATGGAAGAGGCCCGAGGCCGACTGTTACCGAGCCTTCGTGCATTGCGCCTAGGTGCTTTGAGATTTTTTTTTTTTTTTATCTATTTTTTATAAGTTTTTTTTTTTTGTGTACGTAGGTTTGAATAAATTGAACGTTTTTTGTTACGAGATCCTATTTGTGCTGATGTTTTGTGTCTTACATGTGCTTTATCTGATACTACCATATATTTTCAGATGTTAACTGTTGCACTTTACTTATTGATTTTCACTTTTAGCCGCACTGTACGTATTTTTCAACTTTCTTTAATTTCCTTTCAAAAGGTTTACCCTCTTTATTATAGACAACATCTTTATCTCGTTATTTCCTCATTTTTTCTTGCCTCTGTATCATTTTCATTATGAGCTCTTCCATTCACTTTTTGGTCTACGTTTCTGTCTTCTTTACATTAATGAGGTATTGTTCTCATGTCATCACTATTTTTTTTTAAATGAAATTTTCCACACTTAATCAACCGTTTGACCTTTTTACGAATCTGAAAATTAATTTGTAAATAGGCCCCCCAAAAACCTGTAAACAAGCATTTTGTACATATTTTGTCGTTATTTCAAAATTTCATCCACACCACATTGAATTTTGGTAAGTTCAAGAACAAATTTTCATATTGAGGAGATGCGCGCCAATGAGGAAAACTATTTTATTACAGATACATCTTCGTCCCCAAGAAGGGAAAGTTACAGTACACGCAATTCGTATTTTGTTATCGCCTTCGTAAAATCCCAAGAACGATCAATCATAGCCCTGATTAAGAGCTTGGAAATTTCAACTCTCAAATCAAAAGCGAATAAATATTAAAAACGTGAAAAACAAAAAACGATATCGCGCCACAATTAAGTTTGACATGCTTTTATGTGTGTTCCTTACTTCTTTTGATATACAGAATGTATAATCGTATGTAAAAAAAAAAAAACAAAAAAACGAGATGAAATGAAAAATAAAAAATAAAACTGACACAAAGAGGGGCCATTAAAGAGTCAGTGCAAGGCGTTATCTCACGCGAGATAATACGCCGGCGATTCTACACGCAGACTCTACCTCAGTGCTCAGCTGAGCGAAAAAAAAAAAAAAAAAAAAAAAAAAAAAAAAAAAAAAATCCACTGGAAGCATTCTCGGAGGGCAGATAGATCTCGGCAGTCTCGCGCGAGACATTTGCGAAACGATGCCGTGCAAGGTGGAGACCACTCCGCTGCTGGGGCAGAACTTCTCGCCGCCCACCGAAAAGTTGGGTACCAGGCACGTGCAGATTCTCTTGATGTTCTTGGGGATTGCCATTGCCTACGCGATAAGGATCTGCATGTCCGTGACCATCATCGCCATGACCGACCCAAAAGCGCCTATTACGGTAAGTAAGTCTTTTTTTTACTCTGGTATATCTACTGATGCGCGTCTTTTTCTTCGTCATCAAGCTACGGAGCCGACGGTATTTTTATTTTTCATCGCAGTGGTAAGAAATAAGTAAATATGCATCAAATTTACGAACATGTGTCTCGTGCATAAGTATAGTACCTGACATTGAAAAGGGGCAATCTCACGGGATAACAATTATTGAGAAAGCATTAATCATATCGTTATGGATAGCTCTTTGTACAGTGTGAATCGACTCTCTAAAGATAAGTGTACAATTTTAATATTCCTCGTTTTGTGTTTGAGAGAGAAAATTTTCACTGTACTTATAATATATTCATAAGCTCCAATTGTAAAACATTTTTTTTTTTAATCTGCTGATTGCAAGTGATTAGTTTAAACGCCATGTACTTTCTCAATCGACCGATTCAATGACTTATAATAATGTCATTGTTTGGTCTCGACCACATGAGTTTGTCTCAATTACCATTAAAAATACACCGCGATAACTAATCAAGTATTTTTTTTTTTTAATCATTCGAAAAAATTCGACGCTTTGCCATAAAATATAACAAAAATTAATAGACATCTTATGACAACATTGCCGTAATTTTTGCAACGGAAATTTTTCGTAATTTTTTTCACCGATATGTCAGATAAAATGAACCTTTACTAAGAATAAAGTAGTAAGGGAGTTCTATCACTTAAGAAGGCTCTATTCTCTAAAAAAAAGTCTAAACTTAATTCAGGAAGAAAGGAAGTATAGTTAATATTTACTGTGAAACTATGGTCATACTGGGACATCATGCAATCATCGGAATATTTATTCGGTAAAATTATTGAAGAAATTACTCTCAAATTCTTCCTGTTTTTATGGTAAAGTCCACAGTTATTTTATATAAATATGATGAAAGTGACTGCAGAGGGGTTTAATGAAACCAAGATAACATAATACCTAAAAAATTGGTACTCTGTTTATTGGGAAAAAATTCGTTTGTAAAAGCAGGTGTGTATCGAGTAGATCATTACTTAGTAAATATTTTGAAGAATTTCCACGTGTAAGCAGACCACGTGGAGAAAATTACCCAGGAAAATTTGCAAAAACACTTGAAGAATATATCGTGGGAAATTGTCGTGGTTCAAAGTCACCTCGGCTCAAAAGTTTTGGCTCCCGACGTAATGTACCATTGTCCTTTTTTTCCTCTCGCAGCGATTCAACTGGGACTCAAAGACGAATTCCCTAATACTGAGCTCGTTCTTTTGGGGCTACATAGTGACGCAAGTGCCGAGCGGCTACATAGCCAACACCCGCGGCGCCCACAAGCTCCTCTCCTGCGGCATGTTCCTGTGCTCGCTCGTCAACTCCCTGATACCTGCAGTCGCAATGTGCTACGGCTGGCCGGCCGTCATCTGCTGCAGAGCCGCGACCGGACTGACCCAGGCTTGCCTGTACCCCTGCGCCCAAACTCTGCTCTCACGTTGGGTACCACCTGCCGAGAGAGCCAGACTCGGTGAGTGTTTTTTTTTTCTTCTTCTTCTTTTCTTTACCACTTTCATTTTCTTTGTCTCTCTCGTACGAGTACTCTCGTGCCAGCGTTGATGGCCTTTTTTTCTCTGATATAGGGCTTGAGAAGAGACTACCAATCACCCATATATTGTTTATTGATAAATATATTGTCATGCGTTGTCTAGTATCGTTATCAAACCTATCAAAGATGCGGGGGGCCATTTCAGTGAAAAAAGAAAAAAATGTCATGCATTTTATTTGACAAGTGTGAAAACAGAAGCCGGTATCGATTGAAATTTCAAATTCCACCGTGCAGGCTCCCTAGTGATGAACGCGGGAACTTTCGGCATGGTACTGACGCTGCCCGTATCCGGTGTGCTGTGCGCGTCGCGCCTCGGCTGGCCAAGTGTCTTCTACCTGATCAGCGCGTGCGGCGTCGCCTGGAGCATACTATTCTTCTACCTGGGCTCGGACATGCCCTCCGAGCACCCGACCATCTGTCCCAACGAGATGCGCTACATTGACGGTAGTCTCGGAAGATTGGATAAAGCTTCGAGATCTGAAGTACCATTTTCCGGGCATAGCATGAGGCTAAGATTTTTTATTTTTTTCATTATTTTTTTTTTTTTTTTTTCTTCTTTTTTTTCCCCTCCACTCGGCTCGGCTGCACGACGATGTCAGTCCTCTCGTTTCGCTAAGAAGCGCCCGTCCATTTTTCCGTTTCAGAAGCCTAGAGTGCCGTGGAAAGCCATCCTGACGTCCTTCCCGATGTGGGCCATTGTGATTGTCCATTCCGGAAGTAACTGGGGGTTTTACGTTCTCTTCACCCAGATGCCGACTTACATGAAGTACGTGCTCAGTTTCGACGTTCAACACGTGCGTACAGTATTTTAACTCTTCCCAGTAACATTATCGTGATACATCCCATTGGCGTCGTCGACGTTTTATTTTGCCATAAAAAGTGACCTCAAGTTTTCTCAAATTTTTCAACTACATAAGTAGATGTGCGTTTCCATACAGTTCGTTACACCCGACAAATAAAAACACATACGCAGAATTACTGAATTGGTTGTTACGCGATGCGTTAATCTAATTCATCATTTGACAATCGTACAATGAGTAGAATACCGTACCATTTCGTCATTGGTGAATTACAAAAGCGTACCGCGTATTTCATTTTTCAATTTGAAATTGTCAGAATCAAAGATATCACGTTTTTCATCTCAAAAGTGATTCTGCATGATATTCAGAAAACAAAATCACAAGTTCTCAGATGATGCATTATTCTGTCCATGCGTAACGATACACTCTTTTAATTTGAACATCATCTCAACGAGACTGCATTATCATCTCGCGAACAAAATACTTTGTCTGTAGTTTTCGAAACAACATTAAGGTAGTTTTCAAAACCCAGAATAAGCTTCTAAAATATAACAACAAAGAGGATAAACTTTTTCATTCAGTGGACGATGTGGTGAAAGACTTATGTGTGAATATGAAAGGGACTTAACGAGGGCGCAAAGCACAACTAACATGCACACGCGCGTCCACAGAGTGGTCTGGTGTCGGCGTTGCCGTACCTGGCAATGTGGCTGATCGGCTTCCCCATAAGTTGGCTGTCGGACTTTGCTCTGCGGAAAGGCGTGTCGGTCGAGTGCGTGCGGAAGCTCAGCAACACGATCGGGCTGTGGTTGCCGGCCGCGGGCATGCTCGTCCTCGTTTTCATCGAGACGACCGACAAAACCGTTTTGGTGACCATCCTGGTGATCGCGGTTGGCTTCAACTCCGCCACGACGAGCGGCTACCAGATCAATCACATCGACCTCAGCACCGCCTTCGCCGGCACCATGATTTCCATCACCAACAGCATTGCCAATGTCTTTGGTATCATTGCCCCGCTTGTCTGCGGTGTGATCATCAAAGACCCGGTGAGTTAACTATATTTACTAGTCAAATGAAAAATCGGGTCTTGTTTTTTCTTTCTTTTTTTAATGCATACAACATCATTAATTATTCATGATTTTCTAAGTCATGGTTTTGTGAAATATTAAAAATTACTGTGCATCTGGTGTCGTTCCGTCGTGTAGGGACATTTTTTTACTTTGGCCAACCTAATTTTTACCATTTAATTGCTGGACGGTAATTTCTATTGTTACAATCACTGTTATTACAACAAAAACTACGGTTCTAAACATTAAAAATTATTGTTTAAATAGCACAAAGTCTTTAGACGACCGAACACTACCAGATTACCATTCTAGCACAGTAATGTTTATTATTCTTTTCTCTCAGTGCACATAATTCGGTATTTTCATGAAGCATAAGGTCCGTCAGAGATAAATTATTCTTTTAAGAAATTATTGCACACGTGCTTTTTTCTTTTCATACGTAAAAAGAAGATGTTGTAACGTGACAAATTTTGTGGAGTGAGAGTATAATGACGTCGCTGAGATTTATAAAGTTTACATCTTTTGTGACGTCAAGCACATAAATTTAACGCATATAATATCTTTGTCAGTTTTTGTTCGTGCGAAAAAAAAGAACAACAACAACGAATCATACGACTCAGATTGTTAGGTAATTGTACTTACTGAATTTTAAATGCGTTTCTACGTAACAGCACCAATTTTTACTTGTCTGTCACGATGCAAATTCTAAATGTCATCGATGGCACAGTGGAAAAAATAAACCAATAACCATGACAATAATAATTTTCAGACGATCGTGAGTCAATGGCACACCGTATTCTACATATCCGCTGCCGTGTACTTCTTCACGAACTTGGTCTTCATAATTTTCGGGAAAGCCGAGACCCAATCCTGGAGCGAACCCGACATCCTGCACGGCTTGAGCCGAGATCGTCCCGGCCGAGCATCGAGGGTCCCCACAGTTTTGGACTCGTCCTCGGTAGTCGTGGTCGACCACGGGCTCAAATAAACTTGGATGATTCGACACCGTTTTTAGAAAATCCCTTGGTGATTGTTGAAACGATTAAAAATTACCGTAATGGGACACACACTGAAAATCCTCGCGTTTAAAATTGATGCTCAAACGAGACTAACGATACCATATTTGGTTGCACGTAACCTTAGTAGATTCGAAACACTAACTCAAATGTGGTCGTGTTGAGGTAAACATTTCACGTTTCTACGCTACACAGATAGTAAATTTATCATACACTTTGTACATTTATTAAAAAATATTATAACATAGACGTAATTGTACGTAAATGACTGTTCGTGTTGAATAAAAAATCTTTGAGAGACATTTTTAGAAAAAAAAAAAAAAAATTAGTTTCAAGACTATCATTTACTTTGTCGATACGATTTATTTGTCGATTTCATGGTCGCGTTAAAAATCGACCGAAGCAACAAAAAAAAAGCGGCAAAATATGTACAGGATCGAGATTTCAGAGTGACGATGGCAAGAAAAAGGAAAAAGAGCGAGAGAGAGAGAGAGAGAGAGCAAAGCAGCAGATGAACAAAATACGAGAAGGGAAAAGAAGGGTATAGGGGCGAACAAGAGCCGCTGCAGTGCCGTGTGCTCCCTATTGTTTTCTCGAGTGGCACTCGCCGGTTCAATGCTCGCTCGCTCCGGCGCGCCGCTACCAGATGTACCACCACCACGACCAGAAGCAGCAGCCAAGGGAGCTCATTTCGAGCACTCCGCTCTTCGCTCGCCCGCGCTTTTTCCTCTTTCCTACTCTTTTTTTCCCTTGCTCTCTGCAATTTTTTTTTTTCTTTCTTTCTTCCTCACCCCCCCCCCTTTTTTCAGTATTTTTTTGTTTTTTCACTTTGGCCTCTGTACTCTTTTTTTTTCCTAATTCACAAGTGACAAGGTGCTCTCGTCCGTCTTCCCTTGAATTTCGCTGCGCTCGAGCTTCTGCGGATTCCTACTTTGTGCCCTTCAAGGTGTAATTTTGTTGATTATACGGGATGTCTCACAATGTGTAGTTGATTAGATTAGTGCTGATTTGTAGTCTCATGGCTAAGAAATTACATGTCCTCCCGAATATATTTTTCAAAGCTATTTCCAAATTTTTCGTCTAATTTCACCGGTGAAGAATATTTGAGAAGTTTACACAGTTGATGATGATTTACGATGATTTTATCTGTATGAAGTGCACTCGAAATATTATTTACTTTTAAATTTTATTAAAAATAATTATCATCAACCCTATCTACGGTAATTTTTTTTTTTTTTTAATACTTTAACCGTTCGTTGGTTTATTTCTTGGCGCAAAGCTGTCTTGACCAGCCACAGCGGAATGAGGATTCCAAGTGAATGTATGAAATGAAGAAAAAAAAAGAATTTTTCTCATGCTTCATCGCAGTTAAATGTACTCAGATATCCTAGAGTTTACTCAGGGGTTGTACATAAAAACGTATCGATCTAGTGCGTGTCACGGTAAATTGGATCTTTTTATCGACAACAAACGAGAAAACATGAAAAAAAAAAAAAAAAAAAAAGGAACACCACTCAAAGGCGTTCGATCAGTTCTTCGTATATTTACATGAAATACCAAATGTTGGCATCGCCAATTAATACCCCCGTATACTGTACGAGACAAAGCGAAGATTGATAATCAAACCCACGAATGGTATATTGCATACACACTCACGTCAACCGTCAAACGACTTTTTAAAGAGTCACGGAGAGAGAGAGATAGAGCGGCCGGTGGTAACGAGACGCGGGACAAACAACCGGTCAATTAAGAAAGTCGTGTCCCCCCCAACGTGCCGTGCACCATGCACTCACAAAACTATGCGTGTGCTGACGACGACAAACCTCGGAAATCGGGCGAGGGTAGGGGGGTGGGAGACGCTAGATATGCCCTTCCGTCCCGACATGTACACACGGGGAAGGGGTTGGATGGGGCGCGTGTCGGCGCGTGGCTCACCTCCCACGGAACGTCGCCCTCGCGGGGGAGGGGACGCGCGTGTCCCGGGGCCTCGACGCGGCAATTTGGCCGCACGCCGGGGAACGGCGAATTATCATAATCGACGGGCTCGGTATACGTGCACACGTCGACCGGACTTTTATTAATATCGTCCGACTGTTCGGTGGTGTGTATGTATAATATATACACACGAGACTTTCGAAAGTTGATTGCTCCGGATTATTATTGGTTTAATCGCGCGGGGATGAATTTTTATGTATATATATATATGTAGGCGCGCCGAATGCGGGTGCGTGTATTTGGTTGAAGGTCCGATGCATATGGGGTGTCTCGTTTAGTTGCGAGTTAAATTTATTGCTTCGGATTGCGTACAGGTTCCGTCGAGTCCGAGATACACTCATTGACCACGTTTTTTTCTTTTTTTTTTTTTTTTTTTTATCATGATCGATTATTATACGTCGAATTCGCTGTAAAATCCAAGTGTGATCAAGTACACGTTTGGAGCGTGTAATCGGAATTACTGTTTTTGTAAAATGCACTACAATAGTCTTGACAAACGTTGGAAGAGCAACCAAATCGATGCTTCGTAATCTAAGGTAAGAATAAACAGAAATAAATTTTACGCAGCCTTCGTGAACTTAGAAACAGCTTTGGATACAAGGGTCAAAGACTCTGGTTGGTAATGGAAAAAGGTAGTGTTAACAAATACTTCGTAGGAAGGGGGGGAAAAAAAAACATCAACAATTATTCAGGGGAAAAAGAAAAAATTCTTGAGCCTGTTGGGAATTGGAAAGGGTTGTGTTTAAAGCCGAATAATCGTTTACCTGTACACAGCAGGTCCGGGAGAGGATTTCACGGAAAAAAATGTAGGAGAGGAGCTGTGGGGAAAAGATGCTTTCTAGTAGTCTGAAAATAAGGGCATGGGAGAAAAAAAGGGAATCCGAGAAGATTCAACTAGATTATTAAAGGTTGGATGCATTGTTTAAAAGGAAACGGTATATTCCAAAGACATGCAGCGTACGGAGAAGTGCAGCCATAAATTTGCAAAAAAAAAAAAAAAAAAAAAAAAGAAATTCAGATGACAATAGACCAATTAAAATATGTAAGGAGAAAAAAGAAAAATTCAGAGTTAGAGATTAATGAAGGGTGAACAAAAATAATTTATGTTCTCCTAAGATCTACAACTTTGATATTAGACGCAAGCGTGTAAATATTCGTTTACAGGAATTGTCTTTATCCACAATTCCAATTATTTAACGTTAACATCCAAAAAATGTCTATAATCGTAATAATTATCAGTGCCAAAAAAAAAAAAACTCGAAATGCCACTTATATGCTTAATCAAGAATAATTGCGCCAGGAAGCATTCTCTCGAATTCCTTTAGTTAATCGTCACAATAACATAACAGTCCAGCGCACGAATCCATCGTTGAGATGGCTAATTCTCACAATACGTCCCGCAATTAAAATGCCCAAGAAAAAAACGTCCAAAAGCTCCGAACCCCTTGGTTACGCACTTTAGGAAACAATAGACTCGTATGGTTGTAGCGTCTCGGACGAGGAGAGTGGCAAAGGCGTGCACGCACAAGATTGTGCGTCAATGGCGCGTAATAATCGCATGAGTCCAGGTCAATCGAGCCCGTAATTGAAGGCGATAAACACCGTAAGCAGCCGTCTACGATCAACCACGACGAACAAGGAGCATGTATATATATATATATGCACAGTGTAAGTATATACAGGGGGGGCCCACCTCGATCAACGACATCTGATCGACGGGTGTAGCAATAACAACGGGGAGCCCCTCTGCTCGCGAAATAATGGGGGAGAGAAGACGCTGTACGGGTACCTACGTTTGTATATATACATACGAGGATAAATCCTCGGGTTGGCGCAGGGGGGAAGAAGAGCGCGTGTAGCACATATTACATGTGGGTATGGCAGTTTACGTGGCGGATCATCCCTCGTTATTGTTGCGTTTATGATAATAACTGGGGCCTACCCTGTGTAAGCACCAAGATTTCTACCGGATGTATATGTGCTACTGGTATAGTGTACCTCGTTGCTTGGTTGGTGGTGTTGGTTTTTTTTTTTTTATTTCTAATTTTTAAATAAATTTTTTTTTCCGTACGTGTTTCAAATGAGACAATACCATGAGCTACGCTGGGCCAAGTTGCGTCATATTGCAACAAGGAAGTCTGGACAAACTGAGTTTTAGTGACTTGGGCCAAACTACCCCTACCCACCTGTGCCAAGTCATGCCACATTTTGCGACAGTAAAGTCCAGCATGATATTGTGATTTGGTTTTGGTAATTAAACTGTGCAATGGTCGGAAAAATTGTTTTCAACACGGAGCTATCGGTAACAAATGCTGTCCGGCGAAACATTTTATTCACATTCCATCGCAGAGCCCTGCTTTTTCCAGCCTGAAAAACATAATCTCGACATCCGATAGCGATAGCGCCAGTTCAGGACAGCGGTGTACTCCACGGCTCTCCGATGAAATCAATTTGAAAAAAAATAAATGAAAAAAAAAAAAGAAAAATCGTACAGGCAGAGAGAGAGAGAGAGAGGGCTCGGGTCCCGTAATTTCAGTTGGAAACAGTGGCTGTTGCTCCATCCCCGCAGGCTCCAGGGGGAGCACCTACACAGCAGCCAGCGACCCACATCCTCGTTCACCTCTCCCTACTGGTACCGGCGTCGAGTGTTTGTATTGCTGACTCGGCGCTCCCGATCCAATTCGATCCAAATGACCGAGCTTCGCGTGTATACGTGCGACATACGAGGGAGTTCGCGAAAAAACCTCTCCGTTGTTTTTTTTTGTTTTTGTTTTTTTTTTTTTTCAACGTGACAAAGCCTAAAGGGATTCAATTGGTTTGAGCTGATGACGTGGTTTGAGAACAGAAAGTGCCGAGGGTTTCAATGCAGTTTCGTGCATTTAAAATATATTCCCTGACAATTTGAATACACGTCCCTAATAGTTCAAGTTAGTCGACAGTGAAATGAATATTTGGATGTTGTAGGTATTAAGTTTAA